ATGGCCAAAATCTTGATGAGTTCATGGCTAATATTGAGCTTTGAACATGAAGGGTATTTTGGGTATTTTGACCAAAAAAGATTGTGAGGGGTTTTGGATGTAAATCGAACCCGTTATTCGTATGTATGGATCCCATAGGTTTAACTAGACCTCAACCTAAAATCCCGTGTTATTTATAGGATTTTGGTTAAAGTTCATAATTTTCCTTTTTAATTTCGGGTTCTTGAATTTATAATTATACCTAACCTGCCGATTTTCATTGCATGATGTATTGCACCATAGGGTGGGGTATATCGCCATGTTATTTGCGTGACAATATACATTATCCCTTATGTGTAAAAAAGTTGAAATTGTCTCACCAATTTATAAGGCAGTGACTCTATCTCGCAGATTCATGAGATGAGTTCCACTCCTTAGAAATTTTTCTAACTGCGTGTTATTCATTTCAGTTGACTTTCCCCTGGGTGTATTCCCGCCTTAAGCATCGAGTGGTGGTAGTCGAGAGACCTTCACTACTATTGTCGACACACTGCTCATTGTCGCTACTCATCAGTTTAATCCGAATAGGCCCAAAGAGATTCATCAGCTAATACGAGATGGCGATCTTCATACACTACGACGGTTGATTACCGATGCCCTACTTACTAAAGATCGTAGTTCTACTCAGGCTTTGAAGAAGCCGAATTATTTATTTGGTGATCATGTGGAAGATCCGGATATGCTGACCCTCGAAGATGAGCATTGGCTGAACGACAACGACAGAAGTTCACTATATATTCCTACTATTCCTCGACAGTACTCACTTGCACGCTTAAGACGCAAGACGTGAAGCAGGAGATGTCTTGGCTTCTCATGGATGATCATGAGTGAGTGCATTATGGATTCATTACCCAGCAAAAGACCCCGGGTTCTGATGGATATAATTACATTTGTGGCCTTTGACTAGGAACCTTAGGACTTGATACCGTACCGCCAGACAAACTGTTGATAGCTGCCAATACAGTGAGGAATCGGCTTGTCATACTTGGTAGGAAAATCCTTATGAAGAAATATAGGTGCTATGGTTGAGTTCACTCGCAGCAAAGAAGTGGTGGACTCGTATGACGAGCTATGTTCTTGGGCACTGGGGTAATGAGCTGAAGCACAGCGGATTATACGCATCGATACGAGCCACTATGTATGGTTTGTTGATCAACAAATACCACTTCTTAGCATTGTTAGAGATTTATAATCCAGATACTAACATTTTCTTGACTCGTAATGGAGAGTTAGGGTTAGGTCTTCATGAGATGCAGAATGTTTCTGGACTTCCGATGGGTGATTATCCGTATCATGAGTATTTTCCTTCCGACCGACAGTTGAGGCAGTTGAAGAAAGATTCCTCTAATATGTACGACACGTTTTGGGATCTTACGTGTCACTATCAGACGGATCTAATCAACATAAGCCCCATAGTGAAGAGAAAACACAGATAAGCCTGAAACAATTCGCTGATTATTTGTTTCAGCATCTGGAGAGTAATTCCGATGAGGCGGTTTGTGAGTTAGCCTATCTGACTCCCTCTGAGATCAACGACCTGATTGAGAAGACATGTGCTCAATCATTCACTACTTCTGCTATTGAGGGTCAGTCTCCAGTGGGGACCAAGTTCCGTATATTCTTGTGGCATGCACAAAAGTGGATTTGGCCCATGACTCTTCTAGCGGGATATCTTGCTATTTGGTTGAAGAAGTGTGTCATCCCTTATCAGTCTTCCCGGCCGTCCAACTAGCTTACGGGAAGGATCTCTCCTTACTTCTAGCGATGGTCGTTGATATTCACTGCGAGATTAGATACATGGTTCATGGCTTTACACAAATAGGTCCCAAGACGTCGACCGAGATCCCTTCCATCAAGGTCGAGCTCCCATATGCATATTTGATGACACAGCTTGTCCTTCATCCCCGATTTGATGTCAGCACCAAGCACCGCCGATACCTCCGTGCCCCTCCTATAATTATTAGAGAGCAAATGGTTTTCAAAGACTTTCACTAAGGCGAAGCAAGAGCTTCAGATCCACAAGTATTGGGAATTCTTCAAGTGTTTTCCTCATTTCTCTAGCCATTACGACGAGGTATTGATTGATGAAGAGAAGCCGGGAACAGGCCGTACTTCCCTTGATGTTGAATGTTTCTGATGGTTGGTGAATATCCGCCCCGGGTATCTCATCTTTCGGGTGAAAGGACGTTGTCACATATAGCCTTATTTACCTTGTCAGTTTGCACGTCAGTTTGATTATGACCAACTGTACGTTGGTAACCCGAACTAAGGCTTGAGGACTGAGGGTGGTCTCATAGACAGCGTTCGACCATGGCTCTGGCATTTGACAGGTTGCACACGCACCACTTTTACTCTCCCTGTATCCAGGCATAAGCCATAACTTACTTTCCTCAGCTGCAAGTAGCTCATTGTTGCAAATGAGCTTGTAAAATTGAAGGACATTGTAGAGTTGGAGGCTGAAGATTTAGTTCAAGCTGCTGCTAAGGCTGGCTGTGACGCTGAGCTTTTGAAGAAGCAGGGGAAGAAGCCTGTTAAGCCTTCCCGCAAAGGCGAACATAGAGTAGAGGATGAGGAGGTGCTCCTTCCTACTAATGACGAAGATGATACTTCTGAAGAAGACCTTGGAGATACAAATATCAGATTTGGAGGCGACGAGGAAGAGCTTGAGACATGTCTGTCAGAATCTTTCTTCTCAGAATTACTAAGTCTGGTGTTTGCGCGTCAGGCTCTGTGATCTATCTTGCCTAAACCTCCACCGGCTCCACAAAAACCGAAGCGAGGGGTTTTGTTTACTTATCCTAACAAGATTACTCTTGTTACCCCAGGTGGGATGGTTGAAGAAGAAGAGCCTCTAATTTTCTATTGCGCGAGATCCCGGTCCACCGCTGAGGCTTCTGTATGGGGTAAGGTACGTGCCAAATCTACGCACAAGAGACCTCTTACCCACATAGAGGCTCGATCCCCAAAACGGAAGAAGACGGTGCGTAAATCATATGCCAATCCACGCACTCACGATGTAGTGTTACGTGGTAATGTAACTACTGGTGGAGAAGATGGTAATGCTTCACTACTATATAGCCTTTAACTAGTTCTCTTATGGATTCTTCGGACATAATCATGTCCCGTGTTTCAGGGGGTCGCGGAGAAGGTGAATTCACGTATGACTCTATCTTCTCCAACTTTACCCATTTCGAAGGCCCAAGCTTCATGCAACAGTTGTGTGAGGCTATTGATGAAGAGCCCGTGCATGCCGGGGCTGGTGAAGGTGTTTGCTAGGGTACTAGTGTTGAGTCAAGGATTCTAAGTCTAGGTATATCTAACACCGGTAGTACACCATTCAAGTGGCAATTAAGGGAGTTAAGCAATTCAGAACTTGTTCCCCCTTTAATCGTTTTCGCGCTTCATTCTCTTTTAGACAAATTGAAGGATGCGGGCACGAGTGTCGGGGTAACAGAACCTGCTACTACTGCTCGAGGTGAATCTGATTCCCACTATTGTGAATTCTAGCTTCTTTCTCTCTACTCAACATTTAGGCTCTTGTGTAGATGCCACAATGGAGGGACCGGTTGAGGAAGAAGTTTTCCATGGTGTGGACACCGAATGATTGAGTAAAAATATTACAATAGTATCGTTATTATATGTATCCGGAATAGGAAGATAAAATCCTATTGCCGTAGAGTGATTGAGTAAGAGTATTACAAGAGTATCGCTATAGCACAAGAAGATTGCACATATAGATATTTAATCAGTTGTAAGTTTTACTTCCATGATAGATTACCCGTGAGTAGGGTATTACTTTTGAGATTTTGGCACACCTGTTATGGACGGTAGTTATATTCGAGTTGGTTTGGTTGGCATCCTCTTATATTAGAACAGGCTACTCGGATGTAGTTCGAGATGAGATATTTATTCTTTATGTTGGAGATTGGAGTATGTTTCCTTGACTATTTTTTTTTTCGTTCATAGAGAGCTATATAAATGATTTGATATATGCATGTATTGACTCTATTTTCTTATATACTCCTACCCCTTCCCCTGGGGAGAAGTAGTGATGATCTCGCTAGCGCTTTGACGATCGTTGTTTTCCCTCTTTCATGCAGCGAGTCCGATGCACGGAGAGTCACAGGTTGATGGGACTTCCTAGTTGTCCATTTAGCTACTTATTATACTTGTAGTTATTGCAGAACTCTACATGTAGTTGATTATTTTCAGACTCTAGATTGGTATTTTAGTTTAGAGTTGAGAGCTTTTGTGAGACTTTGTTTATTTGACTCATTGTATTTGAGATCTAGTTTATACTCAGAGATATTTCTTTTCTATTTCAGTTGGGCTCATTATTGATATTTCTTATGTTTTTTCTGTGTATATCCAGTGTTGCCTATTTCTATTTTTGCCTATCTGTACCTTCACCTATTTATTGTTTTCACTAGAGACATAGTAATTGTGATGGTAAAACATGTCGTAGCATAGTAATTGATGCTTGACAGATTTGACAATCCGAGTTTTAACTGGAACTACAGCCTTATTTGAACCCTGGGCGTCACACCAACCTCAACCCCCAATTCTGCCGCCTAAAATTTCTGTCGCGTAAAATTCCCACCTCAACCCCTAATTCTCCCACCCACCCCCATATCATTAAACCCCCACAGCCAAAATTCCTAACCCTGTTCTCTCTCTTTCTCACTCGTGACGCACGCGTCGGCCACTCGGAGACTCTCTTCCGCTCCCGAGTCTCCTGCTTGACTCGACCGCTCACATCTCCCGACATCGAGTTCCGTTCCGTTCTCGAGACTGTCTCAGTGGGCAGCCGCGGCGGCAACGACACACAGATCGAACAGGGCCTGAGAAGCGCGGGCGCCTGTGCGGGCGGGCCACCACGAGAGGAGCTTGTGGTGACGCGCGTTCTTGAGATCAGGGTTGGTTGTGCAGAGGGGGG